TTTATAAATTAAATATTTATTTGTTTTATGTATATCTATAATTATTAATTATATAAACATATAAATAAACTTAAAATCTTATTCGATTAAAACATAATTTAAATGATAAATCACAAGATAAATCTTTTACTATTCGTTTAATACCTGAACTACTAATTCTTGAGATTGATGATTTCCTTCTTTGATTTTCTTCTTTCTAATTTTAATTTCTTTTAAAATAATTCTAAACATATTTTCTGTATTACACATAAGAATATTCATCTTTTTTCCTTCATTCTTAGCATTTCTAGAATAACCTTTATTCGTCACTAAAATACCTATATGATCATTATAGTAATTTTTTCTAAAAGCATCTAGTCTTTCGATATCACCAACACTTATTTTATTTTTTTCCCTATATTTGCAACGAACTAAAATATTAAATTCTTCATATTTTCCAATAAAGTCTTTATCTCTGTCATTATTAATAGAATCATCACTATCATATTCTTCGAAAATAATAAAATTTTTTTCGTTTTCCCATTTTTTCATCACCAAATTTTTAAAATTCTTACAAGCTTCATTAATTCGTTTTTCCTATTTAAAAAAAAAAATATATTTTATAAATACATTATATCATCATAGAGCTCTTGATTAGTACGTGACTCAACGCCATTGCCTTATAATCAAATACATGAATTTACACTGGGCGAATATATTGAAGAAAGTTCATGCAATATCTCACTCTACTAGCAGCGATTACTTATATTCTGTATACACTAGATATACAATATTTAGTGAATACTCACATATTCATTCTTTTCATAATCATATGTAACTAAAGAATTTTTTTGAATAAAACTTGACATATTTTTTTTTTTTTCAAATAAATTATTCATTATTTATAAATAAAATTAATTAATAATTTATTTTTCTATTATCATCATTTAATAATTTTAACAAATAATATTTTAAATATGAATGAAGAATTCGCCAAATTTTTAATGTAATATCAATACCTATATATTCAACATAATTATTAATAAACATAAATAAAAATTTATAACGAATAGGAAGATAAAAATCTAACTTCAAATAAAAATTATATAATATTTCGCTATTTTCTTTTTTATATGAAGATTTCTCTAAAATCTCTAAAACACCTTCTAACGAATAAATATTTGATTTAATAACATACTGTCCACCCTCATCATAAAAAACCCTATAATTTTCATAATAATCATGAATCTTGAAAAAAAATAATTTGACGTTTCTTAATATTTCAAAATATTTTTCAACAGATTTATTCTTATGATATTCGTATTCACATCTATACAAAGCAACCGGAAGATCATTATGATATTCTTCAAATTGAAAATAATCATTCTTGAATGAATTTAATAAATCCCAAAGACTTCCACAATATTCTGTCTCTATACTTTTTCCTATTATCTTACAATTTTTCCGAATACAATTCAAAGGAAATATTCTTTCATTTAAATCAAACTTTTTGTAAAATTGTTTTGCAAATTCAACTCTAAAATAAGTATAAAAATCATTACATATATGTATGATTCCATAAAATGTTTTAACGGGTTTTTTAATATAAAAAATATCTACTTCGAATATTTCATATAATACAATATCGATAACATTATAATATATTTCTAAATATAATTTAGAATGTATTAAAGACATTTTAATTTAAAATTAGTCATAAATTACAATATTTAAACTATTAATTAAAAGTATCTTTATTTAAAACTTTGATTAAAAAAAAATCTCAATAATTTAAAAAAAAAATATATTTTCTTATCTTTATAAATAAAATCAATTATTAATCTCTAATAATCGAAATTAATATTTATTTAAACCATAAAAAATTTATTGATTTATTTATCTTATATAATTAATAATTTAAAAATATAAATAAACATAATTTAAAATTTATTTAAATAATAATATGATTTAAATTCACATAATGAATATTTGTAATTTTTAGCTATTTATTTTCTTCATTCTCTTTCTTTAAAATATCGATATGATCCATCAGTTTCTTGATGAGATCATCTGTCTTACACATCATAATTTTAAATTTGTTTCCTTTTTCATTCGCATTTCCTGAATAACCTTGATTACTAACCATAACACCAATATGATCTTTATATGATTGTTGTAAAGTTGTTACGAGCATATCAATATCATTATAACGAACATTATTTTTTGCTTTAAATTTACAACGAATTAAAATTTTAAATTTTTCAATTGTAACAATAAGATCTTTATCTTTATCATTGTAAATAATTTTCTTATCATAATCAACATCAAATCCCATATCTTTTAACAATTTTAAAATATCATATGCATATTTTAAACAAACATTGATATTTTGAATTTCCTATAAAATTGAATTCGATAAGTAAATAACATCATCATGTCTACAAAAGAAACTTTGATCATTTCTAATGAACACAATTATTTTCACAGGCGATTCCTTGCCGGTTAAGTCCAAAGCTCACTCCTGCAGCGTAAATTAATAAAAGTGTGCACTAATTATATGATACTTATCGAAAACTTACTTTTGTATCTTTATCAGTTTCGATAACAGCTGTACTGCTTTCACACTCATCAATGATTTTTTCTAAAGACATTTCTTATTTTTTCTTTTTCAAAAGTAAATTTTCTTATCTTTATAAATAAAATCAATTATTAATCTTGATAAATAATTAAAAATAACAAATATTAAAACATACTTTTACAAATCTAAATTTTTACTGTTTTTGTTCTTACTGAAATCACAAGAATTGTTGGAACCGGATTTGCCTTTAAGTGTTGCAACAAGAAATATTCCAAAAAGAATTGAAACTGCAATAATAAAAACTGCCATTTCTTGTTGTCTTAAAATCCTAAAATTTGACTTATTTATATCGTTTAAATTAATAATTATTCAATAATTTGTCATGATATCAAATTAAATAAATAAAAATTATCAAATAAAAATCTTTTTAAATACGGAAATAAATTCAATAAAATCATTATTTATTATATCATTTCATAATTATATCATGGAAAAATATCGAACAGATTTAATGGTTATTTCTCTATTCCTGACAGTATCCCGAACAGATTTAATGGTTATTTTTTTGTTCTGTCAATGCATCGGACAGATTTAATGGTTATTTCACTATATCATGAAATAATATCAGACATGATTAATGGTTATTTCACTATATCATGAAATGATATCGGACATGATTAATGGTTATTTCACTATATCATGAAATGATAT